ATCTCGGGATATTAAGTCGCACCTGCACTTTGGGTCCTTCTGCAGTTCTGTGGGGAGAGGTGGGGTCGTGACCTGTGTGGCTAAATCACTCGTACGGCAGTTCGACTCAGTGCGTTTCAAGGCCTTGAAGAAGGGCCGCATCTCTGTTCTAACTCTGTCTTCTCCGACCTCTCGGCTTCAGATCTACAACATTCACTTTGTTCCTGGGCTTCCTGAGGCTATCATTAAACAGCAAATGTCTAGAATACGCTCTCGTATGGCATCTACCTCATCCTCTGCTGCCTTTTTTCTGGGAGATTTCAATTATCTCGAGAGTGGTGAAGCACGGCTTCAAGTGCACAACGGGGTTGAACGTGCATCCCACAGCCGGCTTGCCATCGCATTTAACGAGCGCTTCCCGATGATGGGGGAGATCATGCAGTCTTCGTTCACCCATCGTGCGCGCACGTCGGATACATTAACTCTTGCACGTCTGGATCGCATCTACGTGAGCACACCCACCGCCGACCTCCTCGATCTCTACCCCCAAAGTGGCACTATGTGGCCAATTCATGACTTTACGAAACCATCAGATCACGCACCAGTTTACCTATGTCTATCTCCGCTACTCGCTCGACCTGAATCACCCATCATTCCTCGGTGGATCGCTCGACATGATCGCTTTCGGACTACGTTGGACACGCACGCGTTGGACGGAGACCTATCCCCGAATCCTCCCGAACGGCTCTTAGAGATAAAAGATTGGATGAGGCACGCTGCTGCCCAGACGCGCTTGGCTGTGTTTGCCCTTGGGGCTCGGACCAATGCAGAGAAGGTCTCCTGTTGCACCAAACTCTTGAGAGCCGCTCGGTCAGGACAGGAAGAGGTATGTCGTCAGGCTGTCAAGGCCTACCCCATCCTCGCCCAATTCTACGACACTGACGTTGGTGTCTGGACAAATGTAAGTGGCTTTCACACTCAGTTGTCAGCCCTGATGAGGCACGTGCTTGACGACTACGAGCGCGAATTGTCTGCTCGGCAGCTTCCAGTTGCTGTGCGCGACTTTCACATTGCTCGTATCAAGCGTCTTGGGAAGGCTTGGAGGGCTTCCAGGAGGCAGGTGTGCTTATCTGCTGTTGTTGGCCCTGATGGCACTGCTCATGCCGACCCGCGTACTTGTGCTACCACACTTGCTGAATACTGGGGGAAGGTTTTCAGTCCTGGAGCTCCGAACTTGGAAAATGCCAAAAGATTTCTGGACCTGATCCCGCGGATCCCTGAGGACAACTACCAGTATACGACGATCACTCATCAGCGTTATCCTTGGGTTATCTCTCCTGGGCAATTTCATGATCTTCTTCATTCCCGAGTTGATTCGGCTCCCGGCCCTGATGGGCTACCATATTCGGTCTGGCAGTGTGGTAACCAGGTAATTGAGGATGCGCTGTATCAACACTATATCCACTTGATGTCTGGCGGAGCAGTGCACGAGTCGTTTAACATGTGCAAGCTAGTCTTTCTTCCAAAAGGTGAGATCCCCCTCGACGGCAAAGCGACTAAGGCTGCTGAAGAAACTCGTCCTCTGGCCCTCAGCAACACCGATCAAAAACTGATGGCCTCAAGTGTGGCCTACCCCCTGAAGGTTGTGGTCCAGGAGCGGCTCCACGGAATTCAGCGTGGTTTCATTGGGGGAAGAAAAATGGTGGACAACATATACGACTTTGAAGGATCGCTTGCCCAATGGGGTGTTCTTGTCGGGGGAGAAGGAGTAGGAGGGGCTACGTTCGACCTGAAGGCTGCCTTCGCCTCGGTCTTCCAAGTCTGGCTCTTTGAGGTGCTGCGTGCCTATGGTCTTCCGTCTAGTGTGATTGGAGCTCTGGCAGCTCTCTACTCGAATTGTATTTGCTATATCTTCATTGGGAGTGAAAGATTTCGGGGTTTCTTAGCCGAGCGTGGAATTCGTCAAGGGTGTCCTCTCAGTGGTATCTTATGGGCCTTTGCCATGGACCCTCTGTTGCGCGCGATAGGGCTAAGACAGCTTCGTTACCCGTTTACGCCTTCAGCCTTCGCGGACGATCTCTCTGTGGTAGCGTATAACCTATTCGAAATCCTTCCTAAAGTAATTGCTGACATCAAGGACTTCGGGCCTATGTCGGGCCTCTCGCTGAACATTAGTAAGTGCAACATCATGCTCCACACACAGTACACAAGAGATCAGATACGCCAGAAATTTCTCGAGCACGGCCTCGACATTGACGGTTTTAAGCTGTCGAACATGGTGACCACGCTTGGGGTTCCAGTCGGTCGTGGAGCCCGAGAGCGCGCTTGGCTTCAGGTGAGCAGCAAAATGAGAAGTCGTGCGGGGGAGGTCAAAAGTCTCGGCTTGGGGTTCACGTCGTCCATCGTCGCTTTCAACCGCTACTGTGCTCCCATCCCGTCCCATATCGCCCAGTTCTACCCCATCACCAATAAAGCGAAAAACAACGAGAAGGAGAGCCACCAGCTGCTCACTTGCTGCCCTCGGCATTCTTTTCCGCCTGAAGCTTTGAAGCGGATGAAGGAGCTTGGTCACCCTGTGCAATGCCATGACCTGGAAGTGTTTGCGCGTGCGGCGCTGATAAGATGCGCGCACAACTCCGACAGCTTCCAGCGGCTCTATCAGTGCTTCCAGGACACCATTGCTAGCGACTACTATAACCTGACCTGGAAGTGGAACCCATACTTGAATGATTCGATATTTTTTCAGACTGTTGAAATCTACCCCAAGTTCTTGATGGAATACCCACGGCTTTTGGATGAGGTGGACCCCAAGGTGGTCCAGAGGAAGATTACCTGCGCTTTAACTAGAGCCAGGGACTGGGACTCCAGGAGTATCTCGGAGGTTATCGCTCCTCGGCTTCAGAAGATTCTTGGGCCCATCGAACCTATGGAAGTGCAGACTGCCTGGTATCGCCTTGGTCTCCTCGAAAAGCACAAGTGCCCCACATATATCATCACGAGTGTCGTGAAAAGCATGTTCAACGCGTGGAACACCACGAGAAGATACCGTCAATCAATTGCCATCTGCAGATTCGGGTGTGGCTGCCACAACGGGGACACCATGTTACATTATGCTGTTTGCCCTGCCGTCGTTCCTTTCATTCGTCGCCATCTTCGTCATCTTCCTGTGAGTTGGGGATCTGAGCCATTCTCTGTCCTTTTCCCTCAGCGCTTTTCTGTCCCATCCATTCCCTGTCTTCTTTCGCATGCTGCTGCTGTCGATCTGCTGCATAGTGTATACCAGGTAGTTAGGTGCCGCCCTGTGTCTTCCAATCGAGCGTGTGCACTGATGCATGGGCGCCTACGCGCCTCTGCTCGTCGCTCTCGTGTCATCCGCTCTGTTGTTGGTTCCTCCATGCTGCAGCGGATCTGCTCCTCCTTCGGAGGGGCTCCCGGAGGCCAAGACAGCCCGCTGCACTTAAGGGGCCCTTAAGTGCAGCGGATCTGCTCCTCCTTACCAGACCTGGTGGAGGACCAGGTAGGTGTGGACCCTTACCGGTTCCTCTGCCCGTCCTGTCCCCCAGCCTCCCACTGCTTAGAGCATCAGAGCTGAGCCCGCCACGGCTCCATCTTCCTGATCTTCCAGGCGCGCGGGGAGGGATCTGCTCGCCAGGGGTGCGCCTCCTTCTCCTCCTCCTCCTCCTCCTCTTCCTTCTCCTCCTCCTCCTCCTCCTCCTCCTCCTCCTCCTCCTCCTCCTCCTCCCCGCCCTCCTCCTCCTCCTCCTCCCCTCCTCCTCCTCCTCCTCCTCCTCCTCCTCCTCCTCCTCCTCCTCCTCCTCCTCCTCCTCCTCCTCCTCCTCCTCCTCCTCCTCCTCCTCTCTCCTCCTCCTCCTCCTCCTCCTCCTCCTCCTCCTCCTCCTCCTCCTCCTCCTCCTCCTCCTCCTCCTCCTCCTCCTCCTCCTCCCCCTCCCCCTCCCCCTCCTCCTCCTCCTCCCCTCCGACTCCTCCTCCTCCTCCTCCTCCTCCTCGTCCTCCTCCTCCTCCTCATCATCATCATCCTTCCCTCCTCAGGGATATGTCCGTTCTGAGCGCCGAAAAATGCATGAGCACCTCTACGTGCGGAGCACTGCTGCGTGGCACACGAGGAAATTCATATACGTTTGGATCTCAGACTTTGGCATTGTCTCACTCGTGCCCCTGACGAGCCCACCATCGCCCATCCTCCTCTTGCTGCTGCTGCTGCTGCTGCTGCTGCTGCTGCTGCTGCTGCTGCTGCTGCTGCTGCTGCTGCTCCTCCACCCCGCTGCCCTTCCGACGGCCCCCCCCCTGCCTCCCCCATCCCTCCCTCCCCGCCCCCCGCCCCCTGCCCTCCCGCCCCCGCGCTGCTCCTCATCTGAGCTGCCCTGGTACGCCCGTGCTGAAACGCAGCACGTGCCGTGCTCAAAACGTCCGTGTTCGCACGCTGCGTGCTGGCTCGGCACGTGTTGGTCCACGCGTTGGCGAACGTCTCGCGACAGACCTGCGCTTTCTGCCTGCGTGTTGGAGCCCCGTGCCAGCACGCCACGTGCTGCGTGTTGCGCATGGGGGCAGCTGAGCTCTTCATCCTCCTGCCCCCCCCCCCGACCCCCGACGCCGTGATTGGTTCACAACGTCGACCCCCACGGGTCTGGACCCCTTCCCCGGGACCGGTTTTCCATCCCGAAGCATCTTGTTGACGGCCCCGAGGCCCGGGAAGGGCCCCCGGAGGCCGAAAATGGCGAGAAACCTTCCGTACCGTGCTTCTTTCACAACGCGAGGAGGTGTCCGGGGGCCTCCTCCTCGTGCTCGCCCTCCTCCTCGTCGTCCTCCTCCTCGTCCTCTTCGTCGTCCTCCACCACCTCCTCCTCTTCGTCGTCGTCCTCCTCCTCCTCCTCCTCCTCCTCCTCCTCCTCTTCCTCCTCGTCGACCTCCTCCTGTCTGGGGGCCTCCTCCTCGGGCTCGCCCTCCTCCTGGCGAGCCACTGCGCCGCACGACGCGCGCGCCCCGACGCGCGCGCCCCGGCCATGGCGCCCCCTGGCGCCGCGCCGCCGGGCGCCTGCCTGCGGTGCAGGGCCGCGGAGGCGCTCCCGCGCTGCCTGGTTTGCCCTCGTCGGTCGCCGTCGTGGTCGTGGTCGTCGTCGTCGTTGTCGTCGTCCTCGTCCTCGTCCTTGTCCTCGTCCTCGTCGTCGTCGTCGTCGTCGTCGTCGTCGTCGTCGTCGTCGTCGGCGTCGTCGTCGTGACTGGCGCACGAAGGAGAGGACATGCGCGATGGAGACCTACGGTCGGATTGTTCTATAGGTGGCGTGTCGCTCCACCAGCTCTGGCCCACCGCGCGTCGGCGCGACACGCTGTCCACTCCCCAGCCCCCGAGCCTCCACGCCCCGAGCCGCTCCCGTGGAGCGGAGCGACACCCTTCTCCTCTTGCAGGGCACAGCGTGTCGCCGGAGCCGCCGCCGCGACACGCGGAGCAGCAGTTCCTGACCGTCTGCACCTCCACCGTGCAGGGCCAGGGCCCTCCACCGGGCAGCCTGGGCACCTGGACGGGCTGCATCGGGGAACAGAGGATGTCATGAACACATCATCTTTCGGAGGTCCACGCGGATTTCTCGGATCGGCGCCGGAGCCCTCTGGCGGCGCCTCTGGCGCCGCCCCTGGCGCGCTCCAGCACAGCGCCGATCCAAGAAATCCGCGCGGACCCCCAACAGTTTATGTTTATATACAGAGCCTCCTGGGCTCAGCCAGAAGGGCGTCTGCACCATGCCAAGGGCCAAGGATGGCCCTGGCCCTGGCCAGCCAGGCACGGTGGTGGGGCACGCCACTGTGGATGCCCTCTGCGTGTGGAATCTGCGGGCGATGGGGGTCCTCTTGAGACGCAGCCCTGCCCTCCTCATGCGGCCTTCGCCGCCTTGGTGGGGGGTGCGCGGGGCGAATGTGAACACGCAGCATTTCGACTGCTAGAGGCAAGGCTTGGGCGCAAGAGAGGGAGCAGCGGAGTGAGGTCCGTCCTCCTCCCCCTCCCCTGAACTCCGACGCAGCGAACAAAAAGCAGCATCGTATAAGATCAGGCCCAGAGCCCCAGCCCCCCCCTTCTGCGTCATTCTGTGAGCCGGACCGATCCGTGAGTGTCCCAGGGCCCGAAACGGGACGCAAACGCCCGTGGTGAAATAGTTGCAGCGCCAGGATCTCAGGGTCCTGCTGCCCCGTGGCAGCTCGCAAGACCAGGGCGGGAGTGAGGAGATCTAGGCCACCAAGGTGGGGTCGGAACAGGTGGGGTCTGAGGATCGCGCCGCATCGCCGATGCATCGGCGATGCGGCTCGATATGCAGCCCCATGTTCTCCATGCCGACGTCGCCGATGCATCGCCGACGTCGCCAGTGCATCGCCGATATATTGCCGATGCATCCGCGATGCATTGTCGATGTGTCGTCGATGCGACGCGATCCTTCGAGCCCATCTACTCCGACCCCATCTAGGAGGCTCCTCTCATGGACAATGAATCTGGGCGTTTGGGTCCGCTACATCTGCAGACATGAGCTCACATCCCTGATGTGTCTGGCCCTCCTATTTTAGGGCGGCCACGTGCAGATGGGGCAATTAGGGGGAGGGAGAAAGGCTTCTTAGAAGAACTGCCTCTTAGAAGGCGCGGGCCTTGTCTGTGTAGATGTAGGGCCGGCGTCTTCTGAAAACCAGTGGTGCTTCTCAGAAGCCTTCCCTCCTGCTCCTACCCCCCTCTGCGCGCCGCCAAATAGAACCCCTCCCAAATGCTTTGGGGTCCTTCTTTTGGTTAAGCACTGGCAGCTCGCAAGATCAAGGCGGGAGTGAGAATACCAGAGCAGACCAAGACACTTCAAAAGCGACGGCGTCGCCGCAGTCGTCGTTGTCGTCGTCGTCGTCGTCGTCATCGTCATCATTATTGTCGTCGTCGTCGTCGTCGTCGGCGGCGCCGTCTGTGTGTGTCGGGCGCACGAAAGAGAGGACATGTGCGATGGAGATCTATGGTGGGGATCTTTGGGATGGCGTGTCGCTCCGCCGGCTCTGGTCCACCACGCTCTGGCGCGGCACGCTGTCCACCTCCTCGCCCTTCCAGCGCCAACGTCCCCGGCCTCTCCGAGCCTCGCCCCCGCCGCGGAGCGGAGCGATGGGCGATCCGCTCGCAGGGCACGGTGTGCCGCGCTGGACGTCTCTATAGATGTAAGGCCCGCGCCTTCTTAGAAGCAGGGTGCTTTTGAAAAAGCTCTCTCCCCTCCCCCTATCCCCTCTTGCGCGCCGCCAACTCCTCGTGTATCCTCTGATACGGGCTGACTGTACCTCCCCCAGCTCTCCCGCACGTCCACTGGGGGGCTGCGATCTGTGAAGCTATCGCCAGCTTCGTGGGCTCCTGGGAGGCCCAGAAGAGGCACCGACGCGAATCACCACGACACCTCGCCGTCCCCTGGGGGCTGCGATCTGTGAAACTGTCGCCACTGTCGTGGGCTTCTGGGAGGCCCAGCGGAGGTACGTCCAACGCGGATCGCCACGAGACCTCGCCGTCTCGTGGTGACTCGCGTTGGTGACGAGGTACGTCCCCCGGCTCTCCCGCACGTGCACTGGACCTGGCTCACGAGACACCCCCCTCGCCCGCCTCTCCCTGGGCGTGCTGGCGCGGCAGGCTTGTGGTGGCGTCCTGTCTGCCCGTGGGCGTCGTCCTTATCCTCCATCCTCCCTCCCTACTCCTTCCTGCTCCTCCACTCGTTGCCTCCTCCTCCTCCTCCTCCTCCTCCTCCGTCCTCCTCCTCCTCCGTCCTCCCCCTCCTCCTCCTCCGTCCTCCTCCTCCTCCGTCCTCCTTTCCCTCCTCCTCCTCCTCCTCGTCCTCCTCCTCCTCCTCACCCCTCCTCCTCACCCTCCTCCTCCTCCTCCTCCTCCTCCTCCGCCTCCTCCTCCTCCCTCCTCCTACTTCTCCGTCGTCCTCTTTCTCCTCATCCGTCCTCCTCCTCCTCCTCCTCAGCCTCCTCCTCCTCCTCCTCCTCCTCCTCCTCCTCCTACTCCTCCTCCTCCTCCTCCTCCTCCTCCTCCTCCGTCTCCTGCTCCTACTCCTGGTCCTCTTTCTCCAGCCGCAGCCTCCCCGTTCTCCATGCCTTTACCTGTCCATCCACAGCGCCCTCCTCATCCTCGTCCTTCTCTTCCATGGTCCTTGCCCCCATCCTCCATTCTCATCCCTCCCCGAGTGCTCCTTCACCACACCGAGCCTCACCAGCGCGGCGCGTCGATGCTGGAACCCTCCCAGCCTCTCCCCTCGAGGTACTGCCTCTGCCCGCTGCCATCGGGGATCCAGCTCCTCGTCCCTCCTCCTCCTCCTCTTCCTCCTCCTCCTCCTCCTCCTCCTCCTCCTTCTACATCCCCCTCCTCCTCCTCCTCCTCCCCCTCCTCGTACACCTTCCTCCTCCTCCTCCTCCTCCTCCTCCTCCTCCTCCTCCCCCTCCCTCCTCCTCCTCCTCCTCCTCCTCCTCCTCCTCCTCCTCCTCCTCCTCCTCCTCCTCCTCCTCCTCCTCTTCCTCATTGCTGTTTTGCTCTCGCTGCGTACTCTCTGCAGCCGCGGCCGAAAGCGGAATTCCACCCAGTGCCTTGGCCGAGGGGGAATCACCTCAGGCAGGGGTTTATCCAGAACCGCCGAACGGGGTATCGAGCTTCGGGGACCTCGGCAGGTGGTGGATATGTATATGTTCAGGCTCTGGGAGGGCCCTGGTGGAGGAGGAGGAGGAGGAGGAGGAGGAGGAGGAGGAGGAGGAGGTCACGGGGGGCTTGGACGAGGGTACATCCGTTCCAGAGCGTTCCGGAACGCTCTCAGAACGTTCCGAACGCTCTTAGAAGGCTGCGGCACCCGAAATATCCTCCAGAGCCGCCGGATCGCAGAGATTCTTTATCGATCCTCACCCGGTGTTATCCTCGTCTCGTCGTGGTTTTCGCCTCAGGAGGGCAGAGGAGGAGAGAGGAGGAGAGAGGAAGACAGCGGAGGTACGTCATACGCGGATCACCACGAGACCTCGCCGCCCCCTGGGGGGCTGCGATCTGCGAAAACTCGCCACTTTCGTGGGCTGCTGGGAGGCCCAGCTGAGGTACGTCATACGCGGATCGCCACGAGACCTCGCCGTTCACTGGGGGTTGCGATCTGCGAATGTGTCGCCACTTTTGTGGGCTTCTGGGAGGCCTAGCGGAGGTACGTCCTACGCGAATCGCCACGAGACCTCGCCGTCCCCTGGGGGCTGCGATTTGCAAAATTGTCGCCACTTGTCTGGTTTTCTGGGAGGCCTGGCGGAGGCATGTCCAACGCGGATCACCACGGGACCTCGCCGTCCCCTGGGGGCTGCGATCTGCGACATTATCGTTACTCTCGTGGGTTTTTAGTGAGGCCCAGCGGAGGCACGTCATACGCGGATCACCACGAGACCTCGCCGCCCCCTGGGGGGCTGCGATCTGCGAAAACGTCGCCACGTTCGTGGGCTTCTGGGAGGCCTAGCGGAGGTACGCCCTACGCGAATCACCACGAGACCTCGCCGTGCCCTTGAGGGCTGCGATGGGCCTCTGGGAAGGCCAGCGGAGTGTTTCGGCGTGTGCGAGCGCTGCGCAGCGAATAGCGCATGGCGTTATTCGTTGCCCATGTTGCATTTTTTCCAGCTGCCTGTTGCTCGTAGTGCATGCGGGCATACGCTACGCTTAGCGCAATGCGCTGTACTGTCATAGCGCGCAGAGCGCTGTCCTGCAATTCGAACACAGCGCAAGGCGCTGCTACTCCCACGAAGTATGTCTCCAATCGTCCCTCCTCCACCTTTTTCCACGCCCCCTCGTGGTCGCTCTCCTGCCAACGACCTGACCCTTGAAGAGTGACGCCACATATGTGAAACACCTGGGTCTGGCCCGACGTTCACTGGCGAAGCGTTCAAAAGCATCGCGGGTCATTCAATGTTGGCGTTTGTTTAGAGCGATCCGATGTGTACTCGCCACATACTTACGAAAGTTGGGTCCGTCCCCGGGTATCTTTTGACTACTTACAGGCTTTTCCTTATGTAGGGGGACATGCCTGACTTGATCCCAGGTCCGACTGGAAAGAGAGCGCCCGAGGATGGTCGGAACGGCGCTCCAGTCTCAATTATCAGCAGCCCGGGTTGTTTCGGAGCCTCCTGGCAGCTAGGGCCTGGTGGCGCTCCCGCTCGCCACCCGTGCGTGGGGAAGAGTTCTACCCCTACCCACGGCGTCCTGGCTTTCTTCCTGGGGAAGGGGCGCCGAAAGGCCGAGGCGCGGTGGATACGGTAGGTTCAAGTCGGGCATGTCCCTCCACAGGAGGAATACTCGAGAAGAGTAGAACATCGTCTGATCACGATCGGGACATATAAGAAAAGATGGGAAGTGGGGGGGAGACGAAAGCCTAGAACAAATAAGGAGATATGGGGAATCCTGGGATCTGTGTCTGTCTATTGGTGCGTCCCTGGGCCCCTTGTATACAGATCTTGCCCGTAACCCGCGCCGAGAGGCGCCCTTCCTCTGCTCGCGGTGCCGCTCGGCGCGCTACTGCTCCGCGGGGTGCCAGCGCTCCGCGTGGCCGCTGCACCGGAAGCTCTGCTCCGGCCCCCGGGGCGGCATCGCAAGGGCCCGAGAGTCGGAGGAGCTTCGGCGGCCAAGTCCTGGCCCTGCCCCCGCCGATCCGCGAGTCGCGCAGCTCGATGGGCGGCGGGGGCGGGGACGGAAATTCGTCGAACACGTTGGGGCAGGGTCCTACCCCCGCCTCCCAGGGGCCGATCTTGGACGCTCTAGCCCCTCGCGGCCCCTCGCGTCCAGGTCACGGGGAGGGGGTAGGGAGAGGGGTAAACCCCTCCCCGAAGGGGAAGAGGAAAGAAAGTCACCGTCAGACCACCTGTCGCCCAAAGGGCTGGTGGGATTCGCCGAACGCGTCGCGAAATCCGAGGCCTACCTTCGCCTCCCATCGACTCCGTCGAACATGATGGTTGGCGGGGGTAGGGTTCGGAGCTCGCCGCCTGGAAACGTTCGCCATACAATAGGGGCGCGCAGCAAGAAGCCGTATGCTTTGCGTCAGGGGGTCCCGGGTTTCTGCGCTCCGCGCGCTGCGCGGCGACTTCCCGCGGCCGTGGAGGGAGCTGCTGCGTTCAGGGTGCTCCAGGTTTTCCCTCGGGCGCACCCCGCGCACGGGTTCTCAGCATTGGGTTTCTTCTGAGGGTTTTTTCCGGCCGCGCCCGCACTGTACAGTCTGCCCGGATTAGTAGGTCGACCCTGCCAAATCAAGGGAACCTTTGTGTCTTGTGTCTCGCGACCCGTGCCTCCTGCACTCCAATGGCAATGTGGCCCTCGGAAGGGTCTTTTCTAGGGGGCCACATGTGAACCCTACCTCTACCCCCCACGATTTCCGAGGGGGGTAGGGGTAGGGTTCACATGTGGCCCCCTATCTTGTCCTCTCGCGTGTCCTGTCCAGTCAAGTCCGACTGTACCGATGCCCGTCTGTCGTGTCTTCGCCCGCGGTCGGGTCTCCCGCACGGGAGGCCCTCGTCGCCACGGGACTGGGCTCGCCTCGGGGTGTTGGTCGGGAGGCGCCCCAGGAGAGGCCCGGGGAACGGCGGTGCTGGCACGCTCTTCAGGAGGGGGGAAATTACACACAGACGCAATTGATGGTCGATTCCCTGGAAAATATGGGAAGTGGGAGGGGAGACGATCATCCAACAAAAATTCGAAAATATAGGGAATTCGGTTATTTGTGTGTATTTATTTGTTTGTCCTTGGGCCCCTTCAGTTCTCTGCGGGCAAGATTTATACCCGGATGCAGTGCGTCTTGGACTTCTTTGGATGGGGCGCCAGAAGGCCGAGGCGCACTGGGTATGGACAAATCTCGAGCCTCTAGGGGGCAAATTTACCCGCATCCAGTGCGCCTCGGGTGTCTGGGAAAGGGAGCCCGAGGGCAGAAGTATTGCCCGCATTCTTGTCCACCCAGAGGGCCCCCCACCCTTGCGCGCTGTGGCAAAATAGCGACGGGAGGTGTTCGGCCGTCTCCAGCCTCTGGGGGCCTTCGCCGGGCCCCGGGACCATCCAAAAAATTTGCTGGAGACGAGAAGCTGGTCCCAGGGAAAGGGTCTAGGCCATTGGGTGTCGGACCGGGACCATCAAATTTTGCTCGGGATGAGAAACTGGTCCCGGGGAAGGGATCTAGACTATCGGGTGTCGACGTGGTTCAAAATCACGACGTCGGGAGTCAGGAGAGGGGTGAGTCAGGGGCATCCGAAAGGGGCGCGAGGGGGGATGCCATGCCGGGGGCCACGGCGTCTCTCAGGTTTCCTGGCACCCCCCTCCTTCTCTCAGCAAGTCGCCTTGCCCACCCCCTCGTCCGCGCGCATGCCTCCTCGGGCCATGCTGCGCTACTTCGGTAGCAAAACCTGGGAGCCTGGCCTACATCTCAACTGCGTCTTTAGCGTCGACTAGCGTCGATTAGCGTCTGGAGTCGACGAGATAGCGCCGATGCAGCGTCGGTTAGCGTCGATTAGCGTCGATGTAGCGTCGATTCGCGTCGATTTAGCGTCGATTAGCGTCGACTAGTAAGAACCGACAAGACGATATGAGAGGCTCCCATGAGTTGCCACCGAACGCTACCCCCCCCTCTTCTTGCCTCCCCTCTCTTCGACACACCCGAGTGAGGAGGAGCAGGAGGATCGGGCATTACCGCTCGAGCGTTCGTTGCACATGATCGGTTCCGCGTGTGCAGCCCATGCTCGAGTATCCCAGGATCAGAGGGATGCAAGCCCAGACCGCCGACGTGCTGATTTCTTCACAGCGTCGACCTCTAGAAGTCCAGACTCCTTTCCCCAGGGACGGCTTGTCATCCTAAGTTCTTTTTTGACGGTCCTGGGGTCCGAGAGGCCGAACATGGAACTAAACCGCCCGCCGTAATCTTTTCTCGGCGCGAGAGTGTCTTGGATGCACGATCGCCGCCTCGCTTCGTGCAGGAGGAGGGGAGGGAGCAGAGGAACACCTGTGTAAACCCAACACGCTTCAACGATGCTGCAATCAACCCCGCCTCCAAGTTCCCTCTTTGTAGGTTCCTCCAAGGGTTTCTTTTCGTTGCGAGGAGTGCCCCTATTGGAAGACAGTCGTGCGAGAACGCCATTCCTGGGATTTCAGTAGCGTCGCGAATGAACGTGACTGCTGCGCCCTGGCATTCCCAAACTGTGCCAAAACACCTTTTTCCCTGGTCCTTCAACCGCGAATGAGCGTGACTGCTGCGTCCTGACCTTTTCAGATCGCGCTAGATTTGCCCTCGGACTTCGGGCATGCGGACCCTTGCAAGTGTTGGAACCTTTCAAGACGCATGTGCGTGGCGCTCCGGCGAGAGCCACATATTTTGGAAGACAGCCGGCCACCATCAGTGAAATTGCTATAAACTGTCGAGACGAATGTGCTCAGCGCTGAATCGATAGCCATCTCTTGAGCACCGCCCGCCCTTCATAAAGCAAACTGCTGCGAACTCAAATCCGTATGTGCGCGGGGCGGAGGAAAGAGCAACATTTTGAAAACGGTCTACCCTCCGTCCGTGTGATTGTTGGAAATGTCATGATTCAGGGTCAGAAGTGGAAAGGAACTCTTAGGCGGCACGCCCGGCCTGCCCTGCGGACACGTCCGGGGGCAGGACAGGAAGGAGTCAATTATATGGTTAAGGGATGGATGAGGAGGAGATGGAGATGCAGATGGAAATGGAGATGTTGATGCTGACGATGCTGATGATGCTGATGATGACGCTGATTATGATGCTGATTATGATGACGATGGCGATGCTGCTGATGATGCTGATGCTGATGGTGGTGGTAACCGAGGATGATGATGATGTCGATGACGATGGTGATGACCATGGTGATGATGATGATGATGATGATGACGATGCAGACGACGACGCGGATGATGACGATGACGACGATGATGACGACGATGATGATGATGATGATGATGATGATGATGATGATGATGGTTGTGATGATGATGATTATGATGATGGTGGCGATGATGATGATGATGATGATGATGCTGATGCTGATGATGATGATGATGATGATGATGATGATGATGATGATGATGATGATGATGATGAAGAAGATGATGATGATGATGATGATGATGATGATGACGATGTGATGGTGATGATGATGATGATGACGATGATGATAATGGTGGTGATGATGGTGGTGATGATGATGATGATGATGATGATGATGGTGACGATGGTGTTTGTGATGGTAATGGTGTGGTGGTGATGATGATGGTGGTGATGCTGTTGACGGTGGTGACGGTGATGGTGATGGTGATGCTGTGATGGTGATGGTGGTGGTGATGGTGATGGTGATGATGACGAGTTTTGTGATGATCATGTTGATGATTATGCTGCTGATGATATTATGGTTGAGATGGTGCTGAGTATGTTGATGATGTTGCTGACGATGAGGTTGATCATGATGATTATGTTGCTGATGATGCTGAGGGTCAGGCGGACGGCGAATCTGATAGTGCTTCTGAGAGTAAAGGTGAGGATGAGGATGAGGAGGAGGAAATGGAGGAGGAGGAAGGGACGAATCGTGGAAGGATGAGGATGAGGCTGCGGAGATGACGGGGAGGAGGAGGAGGAGGAGGGAGGAGGAGGAGGAGGAGGAGGAGGAGGAGGAGGGCCCTCTTGAAGCGGACCCCCATTGCGCTCCAGGGAGGAGGGAGGTCCTGGGCACGGGCAGCACCTCACGGGCGAGCCCCAGGACAGAACCGGCCAACGTGCGCCTCGGTGCGTGTCGGGAGCGAAGGAGGGGGGAGGGGAAGGGGAGGAGGAGGAGGAGGAGGAGGAGGAGGAGGAGGAGGAGGAGGAGGAGGAGGAGTAGGAGGAGGAGGAGGAGGACGAGGAGGAGAGGAGGAGGAGGGAGGAGAGGGAGGAGGAGCAGGAGGAGGAGGAGGAGGAGGAGGAGGAGGAGGAGGAGGAGGGAGGAACGTGTAGGGAGCCTTCACCAGAAGCCCATTGG